GAGATTTGGCGATGCATTCTTCTTCTGCGGGTTGTGTCTGGCTCGTGCATACAGATGGATGGCGGTTGAGTGGGTGGGTGAGGGTGGTGTGGTGGGTGGGGCTGGTAGCTGCGAGCTACTGCTGGGATAGGGTGGTGTGTGTGTGTTCTCTCTGCCTGTCACTCTTCTCATCATCTACTTTTGCAGGCAGCCCAACGCACTTCACTCCCATCTGCATTGCTCTGCTCTTCTTGGTGGGGGGAGGGGGCGTGACTTGTTGCTGCCATGCCATGGCAGTAAATGTGGGTCACTGGGTTTGACTCTTGCTTTGTTGTTAAGCTGACTTCCTTGATTACTGACTCTGTCATTGATTTTACCAGTGCTTCTAAAGCTGTTTAACATCATGGTGGTTAAACCTGTCTAGCTGAGCCTCTAGTGAAGCATTGGAACTAAAACTTATCATGGAAATCAGTCTGCAGACGTTGAGATTGGGATGGCTCAGCAGCAGACGTTGCCTAGCAGGAGAATTTGCTCTTGGCCCATCTCCTGTAGCATCCGGTGAAGTACAGCTTCCTGCATGACACTGCCACACAACTGAAGAGTGAGCTCTTGTGGGAGATGCGGTAGCACCAGGGACAGCGAGGCCTCTCATAAAGGAAGTTGTGGATAGGGTACATGTTGCCTGGTTGCATGGATGATTGATCTTTTTTTGAATGCCATGGGTACGGGCTGAGCCTTACCACAAGTATTGACGAACTGGAATGTCCCCACGGGGCATTTGGAACACACCCATGCATCTGGAGGGTTGCCTGCGTTCTCCACCCCCTCGCTGCTCCCGTCCCCATCATCACCATCATATACAGGCACACACACCTTCCCCCCCTTACATGCACACGCCCTCTTAGCCACTGTGCATTTGCCACCTGGCCTCTGAGCGGATAAGGTGGGACACGTGGCAGCACTTCCTCCAACCAAGCAGTTGTGGCTCACATCACAATCTATGAGGTGGCGGGCAGCGGGCAGCCTGCCCGAAAGGAAATTATGGTGGATTTGGAGGGACTTGAGCGTGGGGGAGAAGGCGGGGATGGGTCCTGTCAGCTGATTGGCGTAGAGAGATCTGGGACACGACACAGGAGATTACATGAGGATAGTGTATAATTTTGACGACTGTTGAGGGGGGTTGAGAGACTAGTGAGATGACAGAGCACGAGAAAGGCTCAATAGGATGAGGAGCTTACAGGAACTCGATGGAGTCAGACTGGGTGAGGTACTGTGGTATGGGGCCATAGAGCGAGTTGACAGACAGGTCCCTGAGAAGACATTCGGAACAGAACACATGAGCGGTGGATTGTATAGTGCATGCACGGAATGGCGTGGTCAGCCACTCCGGAGTGAATTTCAAAGGTGCAGATGGGTGTACGTTGTAGCCCAGCACAGGGTGGTAGGGACAGGTGAGGGGGGAGAGGAACTGACAGGTATTTGAGGCGGGGCAGGCATTTGACGACACGGGCGAAGGAGGAGAGCTTGGCGTTGAGCTGGAAGGCGTTGAACGAGCTGGGAAGTAGGAGGCAGATGGTCAGTAGGTTACGATGCGTATGTGTGTGAGAGTGCTTACGGGTGACACTTATTGTACTTTAATGAATGCCAAATCACCACAGAAAAACGTCCAGCAAGATGAATGTGATACAGATGGATGCGCATTGGTGACGTACAGAAGTGTAACGGTTGTGAGTTTAGCGAGGGCTATTGGTAGTTGAGAAAAGCCCCCTCCAATCTCCCCGTCTGGAATCACTGGCGCTCTGTTTGGGATGTGATTGTAACGAAGGGGATGGCAGCAACCATGTTATAAGACAGCCCTAAAATAATCATGTTTACCCAAAATGCTTTAAACAAATTGTTTACTCACATGGATATGGGAAACCCATAGTCATCGCAGATCACCCCTCTAAACCCCGTCCCCATGCCATCATCTGAGCATAATCGCCCTTGTGCCCAGTTTAACCCCGGAGGCAAGGTTAGCTCCCGTGCCACATCATGCATCGCTGCGACTGAAATGGTTAAATGAAACAACTCGAGGGTAAACAGTATGAAAATGAGTTTTATGCATAAATAAGTGATTGCATATTTCGTATGAAAAACTGTGGGTTCGAGAGCGTGGGAAAGTGTCTCAGAGGGTCAAGATTTCGGTAATGGATTGCTGAAACGGAGTGCAACGGTATGGCGAGAAATGGCCAATCTTGATGCTCAAGTGGTGGTTTGAGGAGATGTAATGGCCTACCTATGCTTCCATTGAATGGAATATCCCTTGCTGACGCGACAGCTAGAGAAGACAGTAAGAGGAATGCCCAGACAGTCCGATAAGCTAAGAGGAGCAAATGAACCATCTTCCCCGTTAGACTCAGCTCCTGGGGGAGTTAGAACCTACTTGACAAGCCTTGCTAGTGAATGCCAGAACAGGCAAATCTTCTATCAGTAGCGCGGAAATCACCTGGATCTTATGGATGCTGTTGCAAGTTGCGTATCCCTTTTATCCTCCACTAGGAAGTGAAACTGGAGTGAAATTTCAGTGGTGCTTTTCGGGGCGGGGGGGAGTGCTTGTTGCAGGACTGGGAGGGTTGAAAAATGAAAGTGGCCCCTCCCTCTCCGACCAGTTCAATGTCGCATTTTGCATTTCAGAAATGCGAAAAGCGAGTCGCTCGCAATGCGCTTCGTCACAATCGGCAGAGGCTTTCTGATGCCACATCAGCAATACTCGCCATTGAGTCGCTCATATTCCATCATCTACCCGTTCCTAACCCATTGAACCAGCAGCATATTCCGAACCAGCAGCATACGAAACGAGCCAATTCCGAAACCCGTGCTAAACCCCTGATTTCCACCCCACCAAGAACCGCAGAACAGGAACGTGACACCCACGCAATCCTGGGCAAGATTCGCAAACCCTACTGTTGAACCCAAGGACCCCTTCCAGACCCTCCTAGACCCCTTCTAAAGACCCCACCCCAGCACGGTGGGTTGCGTGTGCTCGCAATCCACCATTACTGGTACTTTCGGACAGACATGCCTGACGATTCCTGTGACATTATGCCTCGACATTGTCGTATTGCGAGTAGTTTCCCTCGTGGCAAGCCAGTGCGACTCGTGAGAGTCACGCAACGAGTCTTGGCCCAACATCTTATGCTGCGAGTATATATGTCTTCGGGCGTCCCGTACCGTGTCTCGTGTTCAGTCTGTGATTAAGAGCGCACGATCAGTGATCAGTGTTCGGCTTTCGCGCCCGTTTAAGCGTTTCGTTGGCAGTCTACCTTCAAGGCTACCTGCAAGTTGTCCGAAGCATTTTTGTGCTAGGCGAAAAATCTCAACCGTCGGCTTAGTGCATTAACGGTCGCGACTGCAAGAAAGTCTATATCTTCATCTCGGATATCCTCGTGAAGCCATGGGAATGATGGGTCCGGATAGCAGGAGCCATTCAGGATTCAAGCAGGGCCCCCGCGGGCGGGAGAGCCGCAGTCAGGCGGAGAAGATGAAGAAGCAGGAGAAGGAGAGCAAGACGCAACCCGAGGAGAAGGTTGACGGGATTGAAGACGGGAAGAATGATGCGAAGGGTGATGGGAAGAGCGACGCCAAGTGTGAAGGGAGGGCGAGCACGAGAGGAGGGAAGGTGAACAGGATTCGGCAGGAGGCGCTAGAGCGCGAGAGGGAAGCGCGCGAGGAGAGGGAGGTGGCGCGGAAGCAGCAGGCTTGGAGCAAGGAGGACATGAAATTCGCACGTTACGCAGCCGCCGTGAGGCGAAACGTTGCTCGGAGTAAACGACAAGCGGCCAAGGTACGGGGCCATGAGGTGTGGTGCGATACATGCAGCCGGCGGCTGTGGGGTTGTGGTGTGATGAATGAGGAAGCAGCGCCGCGAACTCGCGCACAGGGTGGCACTACACACGCCAATGTAGCACAACCCCTCTCACGTGTCTCCGCCCTTCTTTCTCCCCTGCCCCCCTTCCCCATCCCTTCTTGTTGCTGTGTGTCAGGAGAGGCGCAACAGCCTGCTGGATGAGTGAGCAGCAGCACTGCCATGGTGGCTTCTCTGAGTCGACTTTACAGCTATGCCCTGGCCCTGGGCGTGTGTCATGGGAGCCGGGATTTACTCTCCTAAATGAGTGAGCAGCAGCGCTATCGTCATGATGTCTCAGAGTTGCCTCAAAAGCTACGCCTTGACCCTGGGCGTGTGTCGGGGGAGCCGGAATAGCCTTGTAAATGGGTGAGCAGCAGCGCTATCGTCAAAACCGACGCCTCGGCGCTGGGCGTGGGTCAGGGGAGCCGGGTTATAGCCGTGTAATGGGTGAGCAGCAGCAAGCTGGCCGGTCTGATGATACAGCAAGCAACGCTGGCCGCAGAGTGATTCTTGAAGGGTCGTCCCTTGGTGGCGACAACAAGGGCAGCAGCGGCAATGACGTTCCAGGCAGTATATGGCCTGAATGGTTAGGGTTCGCATGTTATAATGATTGGAGCGGCGCAATGCAATGTTGTGCAGTGCAGTGGAGTGTGTGCAGTGCTTGGGTTTTCTGCCGCAGTGCATGGTGGAAGGCAGATGGAGGTGGGGGTGGTAGTCACAGTGGTGGGAGTGGGAGAGCGCTGTGGCTCCGCCACAAGTTTGTAAATGTTGAGTGGTAGGGTTTCTTGGTGTAGTGAGTAGAAGCCCTTGCCGAATCAGCAGCTGGCTGTGTTTGAACCCACTCTGCAAGGTTGCAGTTGTGGCAGGACTTGCACTCCACCACTTGTGTGGTTGGCACTGTTGATGTACCGCCCCTGGGTTGCTTAGCTCACTCAAACCAAACATTTCACTACATCATATGATACATGGGTTGAAACCCAACTGCAGCAGCAGTATGGGCAAAAAAACTAAGGCTAACAGCAAGCATAAGGCAAAGGACACAACCCACATTGGGCAAAAACTGGTAGGAGCATAAGAAGATATGCTGAAAGCACATCTGCCCCAGTGCTGCCCTAAGGACAATAGCACCAGCTTAGAGCCTGAGATCCAAATCAATTGATGTGTGCTCACAAGCAGCGCACTTGTCTTGAGCAGGAGCAGCATGCTCGCTTCCCCTGGGCTCATTAGCAGGAGCAGCAGCGGCGGCGGCGGCGGCGGCGGCAGCAGCAAAATACTCAGCATAGTCACCACTGACTCCAGATTCCTCCATCCTCTTCTCCTCCCCTCCCGACATCTTCTCCTCGACTCCCCCAGCAGCATCCAATTCCTGCAGGCACGCATGTTCCAGCCCCATGACCACCGCCTGGAGCGATCTCAGGTCCTCCTCCTCTTGGGCAATGCTGGAATGCGCTGCTCCTCCTCCTCCTCCTCCCATAGACGCTTCCATGAAGGCTTCAAGCTGGGCCAGCCCGTCCTTGGCTGCGAGAGCAGCAGCAGCGCCCTTGCTTGCCTTCTTCTCCTGCTGCACCTGTAACTGCTTCTGCAGCAGCTGCTGCTGCTGCAGCTGTAACTGCTGCTGCTGCTGCAACTGCTGCTGCTGCTGCTGCAACTGCTGCTGCTGCTGCCACGTGTCCTTCACAGGGCGCCCCCACGACCGCTTGCCAGCACTGCTGAATGCCGGAGCCTCCACGGCGCCAGCAGGCGAGGCGAGCGAGTCGCTTTCGTCCACCCAGAGGCGGTCGAAGAGCGGCCGATGGTGCGCGCGATGAAGGGCAGGCTGATGGGGATGCTGCGTTTTGTGAACTGTAGAGGCGGAGAGCTGCTGAGCCATGGCTGACACTGCAGCACTAGCTGATCCCATTGCTCCTGCTGCTCCTGCTGCTACAGCTGTCTCCGCTGTGCCGGTTGCACCAGTGGCACCGGATGGGTGAGCCGATTTCAGGGTGTGAAAGTGTGAGGGTGACGGATCCGCCTGTTGAAGCTGAAGCAGTTGCTGCATTAGCGCCTTCTGCTGCTGCGCTGGCAGCGTTGTATTGTATGAGGGCTGACACTGTAGCACTGGGTGAGCTTGTATCGGGTGTGGTTGTGACGCGGATGACTTCAGCGTTTGGGCCAGCGCGTGAAGGTTGGGAGCTGAGCACGTTGATGGGAATCCTCCAAACCTTGTCACACCATTGCCACCACTTGTAACTCCCTCGAAACCAACTCCACCACCCCACACTCCTCTAGCCACCGGTCCCCTTCCGCTGATGCTGCCAATCTCGTCACTCGCAGTGGGGGACTGCGACTGGGTTGTTACAGAAGTTACCGGACTGGTGTTCGCGGATCGCCACATCGCCTTGAGTCGCAGGCTCCCTGTGCGACGGCGGGAAGAGAAACTGCCGGAATGTCGCAAAGGCGCGCCCCTCGCGTCGCTAGGCCGCTTCGTAGCGCCGATCGCGCCGCCTATCGCGGAGCGGGGTTCGTCGAAGTTCTCGAGATTCGTCAACGCGTGCTGCGCTGAGAGTAGCTGCTGATGTGGATGTTGATGCTCGTCATACAGGGGTGACGTGGACGCCGCTGAGCTGGCAAGTGACAACAGCGAGCGCCGTCGTTTGATAGGCTGAGGTTGAAAAGAGGCTCCGTACCCGCCGCATCCGGATAGATGACCCAGGCAACCCTCGGCGGATCTTGCATGTGGCGCCGCAGACGCCGCTGCTTGGTTCACGCAGCCGCGTGACGCGGCACAGGACACGCCGTGGCAACCGCCGCAGGCGCCGCCGCAGCAGGAGGTTCTGGAAGATTGTGAGCAGGCGACGCCGCAGGAATGGTGAGGCGAGAGAATGGAATCAGAGCACCGGCGCTTCGCCCATGATCGCATGGGGCGTTGCGCGCGGCACGAGCGTGCGACGCCGTGATAGTCGCACGCGGCTCCGCGACACACCGTCGTCGGAACGCCGTGCGATCTGAGGGCGCTATGATTGGCGTGCGAGGCGCACGCATGACTCATGATCGCATGCTGATGCGACGACGACGATGCGATGGAGGCGAAGGAGGGAAGCGAAACGGCTGAGGGATCCTTCGCAGTGAGACCGGCGACGGCCATTTTCATCGCCACATGCTCCAGATCCATGCCGCTGATCCCGCTTCTTCGGAATTAGTACTGCTGGAAGATATAGAATGCGACTTCTGAGAATTCTGAGAATCTAACACTAGCTCAGGTGAAAGTATTGGCGATGAGAAGGGATATATGGTGAGTTGAGGCGCCACCTTCCTCGATGCTGTCAGCGCTCCGATGGAAGAAGAAAACTACGCTTCGCCACTGAAGGATTCTATGAAGGACTAGCGCTACAGATATAGGGAGCAGTTTTGGCCCGTGACTGGCAGCATTGAGCGGGCGATGCGAACGTGCAGAGACATGGAGAGTGATTTGCACTTACTGTACGAACGGAGTGGAGGGCCTTGTACTGTACTGTAATGCTCGAATGTAGGCTACATGTAGGGCGCGGTGGAGCTCAAGCTCGAATATTTCACGCGCGGATTTCGCGGGGGGGCAGACTGTAAGAGTGGCATGAGGGAACGGTTTCTGGAATGACGATGATTAATGCTCGAAATTAAATGCGACTCATTGCTCCTCCGTATCACTCCTCCCAATCGAACACGGTGCGGCAGCGTTGTGAGCACAAGCTAGGTGATACGCTCCAAAACAATGCGCGCTGCGCGCCAAACAGAAGCTGTAAAACAAGGACGCTTGAACAGGTAGGGGGCAAGCAAACAGCATGAGGTCTAGTTGCACTGGTGCGCGTGGGCCTGCGCAAGCCGGGGTCTGTATGCTGCCACACTGTCTCAGCTCGCACAGCGATGGCTTTGCAACTGCCGTATTCTCTGTTGCTAGCACGATGACTTGCAAGATGACGGGACTGAACGGCAACGAGTGGGACCGAAGTAATGAGCGATGCTCTATGCTCAGCGCGCTGATTGAACTGGTCACGCACTTGGCAAGGAAGGGAAGGGAAAGCGGGGGAGGTTGGTGGTGCAGAGAAATTGGCGTGCCAACGACCACCGAACCGCGCAATGCAATCGAAGAAAAATTACTCGGAGCGCAGGTGCAATTTGACGGTCATGGAACATGTTGACGTGGAAAGGCCCGCGAGTTTGTGGCGGAGATCGCTCGGAAGGTCCATTATTGAAATCTTCACTGGTGCTCTTTGTGGTGCTCCATGAAAGACTCCACGATGATTGGGCCATGTGGGTTCAGTATCGGGCTAAGGATAATTCTGTTGTTTTTCCCTCCTGGCTTGCAATTCAGGAAAATGGGTAATTGATGCAGCACTAAAATCTGAAACTGGAACCCTCTACACAGCCGCTGTGTGGTAGAGGTACGGATAACCAAGGCAGCTTTGCTGCTGCCATATGATTGCTGGAACGAGTTTTTGATTTCCCATATTGCTTTTATACTCAGAAGTAGTCATCGGGCTGGGTGGGGTTTCCCATGAATATTCTCAATCTGCCAATGTCACAAACCAAAAACATACAGTACATTGGGGAGTGAATCAGAGTGAGCGATGCTGGTTGGCTGGAAGGATCTGGTTTTCGTTGTGAAGCCTCGTCCATCCATGGCAGCAATTCAGTTCACACCTTGCCAAGTCAGTCCAGCAACGTGGCAGAAATTCGGCTGCTACCGTTGTTGCGTCCATGTCATCGACCCGTGGTGACCCCTTGCTAGCTGTTGGACGGCTCACACACTCGCAAGCCTGGTGACCTTTCCAGTATTTGAGGGACCAAGTGCCACCTGGCTCGAGCCAGTCCGTCCACAAATTGACAAAAACTTGATACGCTACGCTACCGAAAAATCTACGATGTGCGGAGAGAACAAATGTCGCGGAATGCGATATTGAGGCTGCTCTTTCCCCGCTCCATTACGGACACCATTATCTCTGAAACTCTATATATCATGTATAGATGTTCTGGCAATTTTAGATACCTAACAAATATCACACATATCTCCCCCTTAAAAGTATGGGTTTACCTAAGTTTGACGCTCTTCGTCTCCTACTCTCTCCCCACCCCTTCTCTCCCCCTCCCTCCTCATGAACACCCCCCTAACTCGCCGCGCCACATTGAATGCCGACAGCGCCAGCAGCAGCGCCACCCCCAGCCCTCCGCGCTCCCCGACTGCGCCTCCCAGGGGTGGGCGGAACGAGGGGGATGGCCCCATCCAATGCGCTGCGCTGATGGACGCATGGGCTGTAGCGCCCTGGGTGAATGCAGCACTAGCACTGGCACCAACATTAGCAGTTTTACCTACATCTCCGATTTTCACTTCGACAGCCTCATCCGCAGTACCAACAGCAGCGGTTGCAGCAGTAAACCCTTCCTCACATGCCACCTGCGCCACTGTAGCCACTGGCACAGGCACCCCAGCAGCAGATGCGGCCTCCCCTCCCTCACCCCCTGAACGGCAACTTCTCTGAGGCAGCACCAGCAGGGGCGCCAGCCCCATGAGGCACCCTATGGTCACCCCCACTGTTGCGCCGCCCGTTTCGGCCCACCGGGCCCGGGAATCCGCGAGCTGCTTGGAGGAGAAGTTGACGTCCGGCAGGAACCGGCCTGTAGCGCCCTCGATGTACTCCCGGAAGACCGTGCCCACTATGTCCGACACCGCGTTGCCCAGCCCCGCCGCCTGTAGGGGGGAGCAGAGAGGGGAAGAGGCGGAAGCGGGGATACCGTTGAGTGGACTCAGAAGTCACCTCGATGTACTCGCGGAACACTGTGCCAACGATGTCCGACACCGCGTTGCCCAGCCCCGCCGCCTGTAGGGGGGAGGAGAGAGGGGAAGCATGAGGATGCATGAGGAAGCATGAGGATGCATGAGGATGCATGAGGAAGCATGAGGAAGCATGAGGATGCATGAGGATGCATGAGGATGCATGAGGAAGCATGAGGATGCAAGAGGATGCATGAGGATGCATGAGGAAGCATGAGGAAGCATGAGGATGCATGAGGATGCATGAGGATGCATGAGGAAGCATGAGGATGCATGAGGAAGCATGAGGATGCAAGAGGATGCATGAGGATGCATGAGGAAGCATGAGGAAGCATGAGGATGCATGAGGATGCATGAGGAAGCATGAGGAAGCATGAGGATGCATGAGGATGCATGAGGATGCATGAGGATGCATGAGGATGCATGAGGATGCATGAGGATGCATGAGGATGCAAGAGAATGAATGAGAATGTACTCGCGGAACACCGTGCCCACTATGACTGACACCGCATTGCCCAGCCCCGCCGCCTGCAGGGGGGAGGAGAGGGGCAGCGCAGGGGCGAGGAACGGGCGGGGGAACAGGGGAGAAAGGGGGACATGCAGAGAGGCGTGTTGAGGAGTGGAGCATTTCTATTTTACGCTATGAAGGTATGAGGGTGCGCAGCAGGAGGATGCAGGAGGATGAATGAGGAGGAATGAAGATTAATGAGAGTGGTGGTGCAGCAGATGCGAGTGTGGTCAACGGGCGCCATGCACTGAGGGGACGAGTCTCAGGGGGAACAGGGCATGCATGAGCGCACCATGAGAGTGGAGATGCCGAAGGCTGCGCCCAGAGTGCCCTCGATAATGTCTCCAGCGATGAGCATGATGGTGTTGTCTGCCATGCCATGCCATGCCATGCCATGCCGTGTGGGACAGAAACACGGTGAGCCACAATCAGACACTGGGGTTGCACATAATAAGGCCCCAAGCAGCAATCTTTTTTTATGCTCGGCCGATAGTGCTATCCCTGTCACCCTTTGAGGTGGACATTTCAGGGTGCGTTATAATATGCATTGTTAACTGCTCAGAACGATACACTGCACTTCTCCATGCCTTACTACTCTCCACTGGGCTCCACGCGCTCGCCTTGGCATCCTACTGTGGACCCATGATTACTCTTATCACATAACTTACTCACTACATTGCCCAGCTCCTCCCTTCCTCTCCATTTTACGCTTACTCCTCTCCCACCCATCTTACCTATTCACGCTTTTCCCTCATTCCCCACTGCTCCCATGTCTGCCAAATTCCTCCCCTCAATGATTTCCTCAGAGGCCTACATTTGTTGCCCGGCCACACCTCCTTCCCCTTCTCGTCCATTCCCTCCCCTACTTCCCCTCCCCATCCTCCTCACCTCCTGCTACCTCTCTCTACTCCCCCTCTCCTCCTCTCACCCCCTCCCCATACCCCTTCTCCTCGCCACTCCTCTCACCTGTGACGCCGAACCCGATGTTTCCTGCAGCATGGGAAGGGAGGGCAAGAAACGGGAAGGTGGAGGGAGGGAGAGAGGAGGAGGAAGAAGAGAGGAGGGGGTGGGGGAGAGGGAAAAGGGAGGAGAAGGAAGGTTAAGTTGAGTGAGGGATGGGAGAGAGGCATGGACGTAAGCCCTCACACTCGACCTCTGGAACGACATTCGTTCGAACCCCGGGGGACCCAACCGTCTGTCTTGAATCATGTCCTTCTCTGTGGTATGTGGTTACTCTGCTTGAAAAACAAACGCAGATTGCAAACCAGCTTCGCCCTGTATCCAACCCTCGACCTTCTATAGCCTTTACCACGCACGGCGCGGGTCACACCTATGGCGGAGCGCGTGGCGAGCAGGCCGAGCTGGTGCAGGTTGAGCGGGCGGTCGGCGGCGGCCATCTTGGCGTTCTGCGCCTCCACGTACGTCGCAAACTCGCGCGCGTCCAGCACACCGTCGTGGTTCACGTCCGCCGCCTGAAACTCCTGCGCCGCGTCGTGCTTCTCCGTCGCTGCCAACGGGAATGGGTAACGGCAGGAATGGCAACGGGAACGGCCAACGGAACGGGGAATGGGAACCGACACGCCAATGGGGCATGCAAGCGCGCCGTCGTGATTCACGTCCGCCGCCTGAAACTCCTGCGCCGCGTCGTGCGTCTCCGTCGCTGCGCGGGAAAGGGGGGCACCGGGAGTGATACCGGATGCGAGAATGGGATGGGGGTAATGGGGGTGGTGAGCACGCGGCCGCGAAAAGGACGGCGAGACGGACTGAGGTCGGGAAGGACAGACGCAAAGGCGTCGACATACGACTCGCGAGGCAATGAAACGACGGTGAAAAGAACACGCACATCCCGGAAAAAGCGCCGTGAGAAGCGCCGCGCGCCCCGCGGTATCAAGCTGCCGGACGAGCTCCCCCGCCGCGGCCTCGCCGAGCCGCAGGTCCGCGCCGCCGCTTTTATTGCCGTCAATCCCCGAGGGTGACGTGGCGAAGGAGAGCAGGCGCGCCACCTCAGCAAGCTGCACCTCGTGCTCCGGCTCCAGAAGCTCCACGGATGTCGCGCCGCCTTCGCCGCCGCTCGGCGCGCTGTTGCTGGCTTCGTTCGACGCGCGGGGGATGAGTGAGCGGCGAAGGCGGTGTGGGAAGCGGCCGGAAGGTCTTTCGAATCTTGGCGACGAGATGGAAAAACGTCCATTGGGGACTATTCTAATTGCTTGTACGGCGAGGCTGTGGCTTAGCGCGGTAGCCATGGTCAGTGAAGATGGTTGCAGAACTGTTGTGAATGACGGCGAGTAGAAATCGAATGACGCGTATGTTCAGACGATTGTGTATCAAAATCAGGGCAACCCAGTCAGGCCTCGTGTCTCCGTATTTTTCGGCGTGTTTGGTCACAGCAAAAGCTGCGGTGGCTGCGATGAGGTAAGGTGCAAGTGAGTGACTACTACACAGATCTTTAGTCAGTGTCTGCCAGCTGCCGAGTCAATGAGGGGCTCGGCGGGACTTGGTGGGCTTCGCGGGGCTGGGTGGTTTGGCGGTACGAAATGGGCAGAGGCAAGGCTTGGAAGAGGTGTATATTTTTACGAGTTGAAGCAATTGGTGGAGAATAGGCTTGGGATATCACTGAGCTTCGGCAGAGAGGTTTTGAAAATTTCCAATCAAAATGATGGCATTCTGGCTTGACATGTGGGAGTAGCCAGCGTAGATCGAGACGAAAGCCAGCGTGGCTAGGCCGTGTCACGCTTGTCGTTTACACGCTCTAAACCCCTGAAACACGTCATGACGCCTTGTTGGCGCCAAATATCTCTTTACCAGCCCAAAAAAACAGAGAAGATCCTCCAATCGCAGCTGAATCTGGAATGCTGAAAGCCAAGGGGATCAGGAAAGAAGTCAAACCTTTCTCAGCTAATCAGCAACGTCGCAGGAGCATTTGCTTTCCTACTTCCACGGCACACCTCACCAGCTCGCATGCTTCGTCGTCGTAACCACTCCCCGTTACCAGGTCGCACGATTCGTCTGCTCGCACGTGTAGCTCAAATTCGGCCGAGCCGAAAGGCGCGCCTCGATTTGGAATCTGCGTCCTCCTCACAATGTACCGCAGAGAGCACCTGTGAGTGATAGCAGCATTCGTCCGCGCAGCTAGCACTTTTCCCCCCAACGATGAGGTGGGGGAATGGACTTGGACGCGACTTCCGCAATTGCGTTTCCTTCCCTTGTGATAGAAAATCCGCCGTCTGACGAGACCATGAAAATTCTGAAGACACTCTAAATGCTCCACCTGGGTGTGACTCACTATTGCATTTTGAGACGATTTTCTAGCGATTGCAGCACCATAAGCAATCGCTCCTTGGCGCATCCCTCCGAGAGTATAGCCAGCATGACAGCCACGACCGCGACATTAGTAGGGGATTTTGCCCCAGCGAAATGCGGAATAGCCAATCGACCAGCTCCGGCACGGACGTCTTCCCTTCAAAAATCAAGGTTGGCGCCCTTAGATCGATCGTTCCCCTCCGCACCGATTTTGCGGCGAACCATTTCCCCTAACCGCTTCATGCGACGCGGCCCGAAGACTCTACAGCCGTATCGCGCCGCAGTAAACGACCAGGACGGCACATGGACGGTCTATACCGCCGGCGCCCTCTCACCGTCCGTGTCGGCGGCATTCGCGGAGACGTCTTCGGAATCGCCGGGAGCGCCTTTGTTGGCGCAGCCAGACCAGCGGGCGGTCGTGGCGGACGTCGCGCGGCTCTTATCGAAGCCGCGAAGTTACGACTTTCGTGAGCACCATCACCACGAACAGCACAGTAAAGAAGCGATCAGTAACGAGGACGAGGAGCGCGCGGCTGCGGCGAGCGTGAAGGAGGGGACGACGATCGGCGAGGTGGCGGCGATCGAGCTCGTGCGACAGCTCAGCCCGCAGGGGCGCGAAGTTCTTCTCACGGCGCTCTTCCCGGGAGGTACGCACTCTAGTCCGAGACTCTTAATATCATAACCTTGCGTCACAGCTGAGCCCTGCCATCTATTTTGGTGGAGAACCACCCCAACATGCCGCTCGCATTTCTTCGTATTCCTTCAATATGGTCTCTGTGTGTGTTTCGTTCTGCGACGACCCTGGGCGGCGCGCAGCGGACAGCGCGGAGGCGGAGGAGGAGTTTGAGCACGCGGACGCGCATCACGACGGGGTGATAAGCGAGGGCGAGTTCGAGCAGTACGTGGGAGAGCAGCAGGCCAAGATCGACGCGCTGCACCGCCCGCTCGACTTCCCGCACCTCGCGCTGCTCGCCAAGAAGGAAGCTCTCGGTGCGTGTGTGATAGTGAGCGGTGGTGAATGGTGGTGAGCGGTGGTGAGCGGTGGTGAGAGCAACAGGCCAAGATCGACGCGCTCCACCGCCCGCTCAACTTCCCGCAGCTCGCGCTGCTCGCCAAGAAGGAAGCTCTCGGTGCGTGTGTGATAGTGAGCGGTGGTGAGCGGTGATGAGCGGTGGTGACAGCAATAGGCCAAGATCAACGCGCCCGCTCGACTTCCCGCAGCTCGCGCTGCTCGCCAAGAAGGAAGCTCTCGGTGCGTGTGTGATGTTACGCGCGGGGTAGGCACGTGAGTGCTGGTGAGAGTTGTTATGAGGGGCAAATGATTCGTTGTACCGGTGCTCATTATATTGCTCCCTCCCGTCCCCTCCCTTTCCTCTTACTTCGATTCGTTTGCCTCCCCTTCCTCCCTCCATTAATCTCTCTTCCTCCCCCACCCCTCTCCCCTTCCCCCCTCGCTTCCCCCCCCGCTCCCCCACCTCCCCCGGCATGCTGGACTCGGCGCGGCGCTGCGCGCAGGCAACTTGGGCTTCGGACTCACAAGTAAGCACTCGGGGGACGGGTGGGATAAAGAGATAGGGGAGGAGAAAGTGGGGGCGGGTGGGAGAAACGGCAAGCGGGCTAGACCGTGGATGAGGTGGTTTCAGTCTGAACCAAGTAGATGTCGTTTAGGACTGCTGGTTGTCCGGATGCTGGTGACGCAAAGGTTATCCCCACAACTGGACAGCCTAGAGCAGTCGTCACATTCAGAAGAATGGTACGCTTTTCTCTCTCATCTCACTGACTCTGGCATGCTCATCCACTCCCCTCTCCCCCCTTCGTCCCCACTTCCCCCTTTCCCAATTCCCCTGTCACGCTCTCTATTCATGGATTCTTTTTCTTTTGCAGAGAACACAGTGATGATCATATCAGGCGACTTTATAGCGAGTACGCTTGGAGCTGCCTTCGGGTTCTCCACTCTCATGGTAAGCCTTGGAAAGGGGATGCAGGCAGAGCAGACAATCGCTGCTCCCATTGAGCCAGCTGAAGCTCAGGCAGTCCGCCCTATAATGCCCTATGATCCATACTTAATTGAGTCCAAACAACCGTTTTAGAATCAATCCCCATCCCCCATCTGGGCAACGCAGTGGCGGACGTGGTTGGCACGTGGTGGGGCAGGGTCGCCATTGAGTAGTCCTTTTCCCTTGTTTCCCTTTCTACTCTCCCTCTACACCTTTCCCCATCCCCCTGTTTCCCCGTCTCTCCAACCCCAATCCCCCAATTCATCAGGCGGCGGGTTTGGGCAACGCAGTGGCGGACGTGATAGGCACATGGTGTCGGGGGGCCATAGAGTCGTCCTCCTCCAAGCTGCTCCCCGGAGCCACCTTCTCCTCGCACCAGCTCGAGCACCCCAAGGCGCAGCTCTTCGCCACCGTTGGCGCCGTTGTGGGAGTCACAGTGGGCGGCTTGATGGGCCTCTCTCCGTTGTTCTTCCTGCCAGCCCGCGGGGGTGGTGGGGAAGGTGGGCACGGCGCAGGTCCGGCGGTGACGGCAGGCGTGGCGGCTGCTTCGGCGGCAGCTTCGGCGATGAAGGTAGCTGCGCCGCTTGCGACTATTGCGTCGGCGGATGGGGTTGAGGAGGCTGCGTCAGGTCACGCTACAGCTGGTGCTACAGCTGGCACTACAGGTGGTGGTATGGGGGGTGCATTCACCCGGGGCGCTACAGCCCATGCGTCCATCAGCGCAGCGCATTGGATGGGGCCGTCCCCCTCTTTCCGACCACCCCTGGCAGGCGCCGTGGAGGAGCGAGGTGGGCTGGGAGTGGCGCTGCTGCTGGCGCTGTCGGCACTCAATGTGGCGCGGAGAGTGAGGGGGGTGTTCATGAGGAGGGAGGGGGAGAGAAAAGGGGCGGGGGAAATGAAATAGCAGCATAAATATTTCGGATGAAGGACCATATTTACTGATTTGTATTCGGGACTATATACTATACGGGTTTTAATATGCTTGGGCTGTCATCTTTTTGGTGTAGTTTTATGCTATATAGTCTGGTTCATTCTGGTAAATGCTACTCTTTCAAGACATCCATTCAGCACTTGTAGCGCCCACTGGTGCTTCTGCTAAGGAGTATTTACATCTCTAAACAGCAACTCTGTCGGTTTGGCGGCGCCACGTTGGCTTCGCATGAATATCTCATCTCCCCTTTTCCAGGGGGCTGATTGTCCCAGCCGAGCCAATGAAAATCAGGTATTTATCGACCAGGTGACAGCTTGCCGCAGCAAGAGTCTTGTTCGTTGATCACAGCTGTTATATTTTGTACGCCGTTAGATCAACTGTGGATCGCACGCGTGAACACCCTGCAATGTTACTGTACATACGAGCCGCGGGTTATCGTGGGTTCGACAGCTGTCATCAGGACGTGCGCAATGTGTACAGTCATGCCTCTTCGGTTTTCCAGAGGCTACACGGGTGCGCGCGCCCCTTTCACTTCCGCCTGTCCTGCGAGATCCCGCCTGTCTTGTTCCCCCTTTTGGTTTTGCGGGTTTAGGGCGTGTAACTTTTTCACATTTCATCGTCCGGACGGAAGCCCCGTCCGGACATTTGTAGGGTAACTAATTTCGCAGCACCTCGGTTAGGAATTCGCGAGACGCCCTGCGACGTCGCCACCGTCCGGACCATGTCTGACACTTTTCTGTCAAAATTTGGTCCGGACTACCTTGCTGACATCGTCCGAACTGCATATCGGACCGTCCGATTTCTCTGCGCTGTCATTGGCGCACGATTTGTTGAAAATCGCACCCAATATCTCGCCGCTAATTTTTGTAAGCGAACTCTCACGACGCTCTACGATTGCAGTAGTGCATGTTACATCTTGAAACGAAATGATAAAATTTCGTGTTTCCAAAAAGTTCCACATTTGTGGTCCGGACGGGCTTTCGTCCGGACCTGAGTCCCAAACGTCCGGACGGAGCTCTGTTCGGACGTTTTGAGGGCTCCGTCCGGACATTTGACCAAAACGGAAAACGTTACACGCCCTTAGATTGAAGTCCCGCAAGCTTGAAGTTTTCCGCCCTTGTCAGGACCAAGCGACAACTGTCCCCCACCCAATCCCTCTCGTTCTCTACTGGTCTCGTAAAAATCCAGCTCCCTTTCCCCCTCCCCCCCCCCCACCCACCCACCCACCCTCCTGTCGGCCACGTTGCATTTGCGTGCATTGCAGCTGTGCAGGATTGCGCCGAGGAACACATACACCCGCAATTTTCGCCTTTCCTTCAGCAGAGCCGCCATTTTTCAGCTGCTTTTTGCACTGGCGGACTTGGGCCACCCCACAATATTTATCAACCACCGTTATAAAGAAACATGCCCAGCAACATTATCTAGGCTCCTAGTGACTCATTTCACGTTGACTTTGGCGGGGTCTGTGCATGTCTTGTAGTCGCCTGAAAAACCGCTGAAAAAAAAACATAAACCTCACCAGCCAGAGCGATATCGGCGCAAGAAGCGACGGGCGAAGAGCTGCACCAACGCATTAGCGTGGCCTCTGACGAGCCGCACTTAGCGCATCAGTGAGAGTTACACTTGAGGTGGCGCACTTAGCGCATCAGTGAGAGTTACACTTGAGGTGCCGCACTTAGCGCGCCATGGCGTCGCTCGAGGTGCTCGCGTACACGTTCGGCGTGCTGGCCGTGGTGCTGTTCGGCGCGGGCGCGTGCGCGTTCGCGGTGTACCGCGAGATGAAGCAGGGCGGCCCCGACACCCCCGACTTCTTCCTCACGGCGCGCAAGTCGGTCCCCATGCTCACCATCGCGTGGTAAGTCATCGATGCGCATGGCCATTGATGGTAATTTCCCATGCTCGCGACCATCGCGTGGTAAACTCGTTCCCACGCGCACCGCCGCGTGGCAAGACCGTGTCGCGCGTAGCCATTGTATGGCATTTGCGAAAAGCTGCAGCGAGTCGACGAACCATGCATGGGACAAGATAACTCATTGGCGCCCACGCGTCGCATCGGCGCAATCCTCTACTCGGACACGGTTTTCCACGACCAGTGCCGATGGCCCTGCTGGTTGCGCGTGCCTTTCGGACATCGCGAAGGGTGCCATTCGCGACGCTTCCTGTCACCCGCTCGAAAACCCCAAACCCGAAGTCCGAAAGCCCCCTCGTCCATATTCTATCCGCCCATTTCCGTTTGTCGCTGTTGCGATGGGCGCTTCTCCGTTGGCACTAAGAGACCACTCCTCCCCCCTTCCCCTTCCGCCTCGCCCCCTCCCTTTCCCCCTTCCCCCTCCCCATCTCCCCCTTCCCCCCCCGCGCAGGTCGTTCTACGCGGGCGCGATGGGGTCGTGGGCGCTGTTCGGCCCGCCGTCGTACTGCTCGTACGCGGGCACGCTGGGGATGATCATGTACTCGATATCAGCAGGCCTGCCTATCATCATAGTGGCGTGGTTCGGCGCGGTCATCCACCGCCTCGTGCCGTCCGTCGTGTCCATGGCGGACTATGTGCGCCGCCGCTTCGGCCTGTAAGACCTCGGAGTGGGGTGGCGGGGTAGAGGGGTTCGGGAGTGCGGTGTTTAGGGGTTGGCGCTGTCAACTCTCGTGCCGTCCGTCGTGTCCATGGCGGACTACGTGCGCCGCCGCTTCGGCCTGTGAGTCGTTGGGGTGTGAGTGTGTGGGGGTGTGGGGCATCGGGTTCCGAGTACGCGGGGTTTAGGTGTCCGCGGTTATCCACCGTCTCGTGCCCTCCGTCGTGTCCATGGCGGACTATGTGCGCCTCACACCTCTCCCCCCCCTTCTCCCCCCCTTCTTTTTTTCCCCCTCTCCCTCTCGCCCCTTCACCCCCTTACCCCCTTCCCCGTTCCCCCCTCCTCTCGCTCCGACCCCCTCTCCCCCATTCCCTCCATCCCGCCTCTCCTCCTCAGCGTCATCTCGCTCTACGTGTCCGCGCTGATGCTGTTCAACATGGGAGTGGCCATAACCATAACAGCCGAGTGCACGGCGGTCAGCAGCCTCTTCACACTCGGTCCCCCTTTCCCCACCCCCCCTCTCCCCCATTGCTCAATCTCTCCCCCCGTCCTCCCTCCTCTCCCCAGCGTCATCTCCCTCTACGTGTCCGCCCTCATGCTGTTCAACATGGGGGTGGCCATCACAGCCGAGTACACGGCCGTCCGCAGTTTCTTCACACCCTCCCCCTCCCTTCCCCGTTTGCCTCGTCCCCCCCCAACCCCCTCCCCTCTTCCCAGCGTCATCTCCCTGTACGTGTCCGCCCTCATGCTGTTCAACATGGGGGTGGCCATCACAGCCGAGTACACAGCAGTCGGCAGCCTCTTCACGGACATCATCGGCTCCAAGAGCCTGCCCATCATCCTCGTTATAGGCCTCGTCTCGCTCACCTACACCGCTATTGGAGGGCTCTACGTGTCCATTATCACCGACCAGTGGCAGGTGTGCGGTGGGACTGGTGGGAAGATTGCTGTGTGGGTGGGTAAGCGAATGGGTGGGTGGGTGAAGGGGACGGGGATAGGTTATGAGGCGACTCAGAGCATGGGAGGGCTCTACGTGTCCATTATCACCGACCACCTCTCTCCATCCTCAGGCCGGCATATCAGTGGTGCTCGTGCTCTTCATATTCGTCTGCATCTTTGCTCACCCCACGCGCTTCCCCTCTCCATTCCCCTGTCCCGATTCTCACCTCCCCCACACTCAGGCGGGCATATCAGTGGTGTTCGTGCTGGTGCTCTTCATATTCGTCTGCGCCACATTCGACGCGCCTCTCGGCCCCTTGCCCTCGGAGCCAGTGGACCTCACGTGGAGCAACGAGTTTGGCCTCGCGTCCATCGCTGTCATGCCCATCTCGCTCATCTCCTCCACTCTCTTCAGCGAAGCCATGTGGCAGCGGTGAGTGCACTGCGTGCCTGATCACATGAACATCCCTGCCCCACCGCTCCTCTGCTCGTCTGGCATGGGGCTGCTCTGGGCTGCCTTTGCGCTTTCAACAGTCTACTGAACCGTCACCAGCTACTAAGCTGCGCTGTGCTGCTGCTGTCACCAGCTACTAAGCTGCGCTGTGCTGCTGCTCCTGTCGTCTGCCCGCCCTGCTTGCCCCTCCTCATGTGTCCCCCTCACCCCCTCCTCCCCCACCAGCTGCTGGGCGTCATCGAGCCGCAAGGCGCTGCTGGGGGGAGCAGCGCTGCCCCTTCAGGCCGCCCTCTGAGCTCCGCTGCTGTTTGTTCATCCCCTCCCCCCCTGCGCCGCACTCCTCCCCCACCAGCTGCTGGGCGTCATCAAGTCGCAAGGCGCTGCTGGGGGGAGCAGCGCTGGCGTCAGTGGCCGTCACAATTGTTGTCTTCCTCTTCGGCTTTGGAGGTAAGCTCCCTCCTGCTCTCCCCTGCTTCTTCCCTCGTTGTTCCCTCACTGCTCTCTCCCTTCTCCCTCCTTGCTTTCCCCTTGCTCGCCCCTTGCCTGCCTGTCCTCCTGCCCGCCTTCTTGAATGCTCTCCGCTTGTTCGCTGCTGCTGCTGCACTCTCCGCCTTATGGTTCCCCTTCCTCCCCCATTCTCTTCTCACCCCATTTCTTCGTGCTCCGCTTGCTCGCTGCTGCTGCTGCTACACTCACCATTCTCTTCCCTCTCATCAACCACTCCACATACTTGCATTCCTACTGGCTGTGTGGGGTGGCGTGTGGCAGCACCAAACGAGGAGTTCACCACCACCGTTTCCTTCCCTCTCTTCTACAACTCCACGCCCCTGCATTCCCCTTCCACCCCCACCAACAGGCCTACTCGCGGTGTGGGGAGGCGTGCGGCAGCCGAACGAGGAGTTCACCAACACCAACACCATCCTCTTCTCGCTCTTCAACCTTTCCACTGCGACCCCCTCCCTCCCCGCTCCTCTCCCTCTTTCCCTCCCATTCCCTTCCACCTGCAACAGGCCTACTCGCCGTGTGGGGCGGGGTGTGGCAGCTGAACGAGGATTTCACCAACACCAACACCATCCTCTTCTCGCTCTTCAACAACACCACGTGGATCCTGGTCATCGCCACCGTGCTCGCTGTCGTCATGTCCGAGTCCGCCCCTTATGGTTCCCCTGCCTCTGCCCCTCTCCCTTCCCCCCTCTCCCTCTCCCCCTCTCCCTCTTCCCTTCCCCCTCTCCCACTCTCCCCCCCTCCCTTATGGCAGGCCTCCTCGCCGTGTGGGGAGGTGTGTGGCAGCCCAACGAGGATTTCACCAACACCAACACCATCCTCTTCTCCCTTTTCAACGACACGACGTGGATCCTGGTCATCGCCACCGTGCTCGCGGTCGTCATGTCCGAGTCCGCGGTCGACTCGCTGCAGAACGCCATCGCCGACACGCTCACCACGGCCTTCCTCGCAATCATCGACTTCTTCCTCTCAGTCTCTTCCGGCCCGGTCGAAGCCGCAGTCACAAAAACCGCCTTCATGGCCGTCTTTGAATCCAAGGGCATCTGGGCAATTAGAGCAATCGTACTGCTCTTCAACATCCCTCCTCTGGTCGTGGCCCTCAAGGGGTACAATGTGCTCCAGCTCTTCCTCCTCGCAAACCTCCTCACCACCACATCAGTCATCCCCGTGATGGCGGGTGTGATCCCCGGGAAGTGGTCCCGCAGGGTCATCACGCCATTCTCCGTGGGCTTTGGGTGCCTGTCTGGCATCGCGTCTCTCTTCATCTGGACGCAGATCTACTCGGTCAAGAATGACATGTCGTATTCTGATTCGCTCTACCAGGTGTTTCTATACGCGTACGACTACCCTCCCTTCCTCATGGCTCTCGGGTTCTCGGTTGCGGGGATGGTGGTGGGAGCGGGGTGTGAGGCTGTTGCAAGGGTTGTGCTCAAGAAGGAGTACCCCGAGTTTGACCTGGGTTCGGAGGAGTTGCCGGAGGTGCAGAGCGGTGAGATGGTGGATGCAGGCATGGAGAAGCTGGGTATGGGTGATGGTGACAGTGCTGGTGTGCCTATGGTTTCAAACTCTTGATTGACGAGATGCTAAGTATGGGTTGTGATTGCGGTGGCACTGTTTAGTGTAGCTGGCTTGGGGGTTTAGATGTTGAACATTTGGAATAAAAACAGTAGGTGACAATATACCTAGTTTCATGGGTATTGTGTTTTGTCCATACTCGTTCCCCCGGGAGAACCTTTGGATTCACCCAGTACTGTGCAAAGCAAAGCAGTGGTGATGCAGGAGGCATGTGGTGGACATGGATGGAATCATGGAACCCAATACAGGATTGCAAGTGATTGATTTATGGTGGTACTGAAGTCTGCAAGTTGCATTGAGGCACTAGTCAAGACATGACTCAGGAATGACCACCTGTTGCCATTGCACTGCACCCCAGCAGCAAGCATCAAATTTCATCCCACCTACACAACACCCACCAGATCAAACTAAAACAACTGCGATCACATCGAATAATCCCGTTGCATTGCATCACACCCCCTAGCACCGCACGAGACCCATTCAATTTCACACGAAGGTTCTGAATGAAGCACACGGACTCCCAAGGACACGGTTCAGGCCACCCACTGTCTGCTGCTGCCTTGCCTGCAGCACCACCTCCCGTCACCCACTCTGTGAGTGCACAACTCAACAATCACTTCGAGCACGCGTGTCATGCCATGCCGTGCCTTATTTCCAACTCTCATGCTCCCCACCCATCTGTCCACCCCTCCTCTCGTGCTGCTATCCTTCAACTCCTATTTCCCCTCTGCTCTTGCTTGTTCTGCCACGCCCCCTGCTCTTTCCCCCTACCCGACACCCCCCCCCAATCAACACCCGCCCCCACCCAACACATGCGCTGCCCCTGGAAGGGCTAGGTGAAGCTTTCACCTCCACCGGCCTCTCCGCCCTCCTCGCTCCCCTCTTTTCCCCCTTCCCGTCCCTTCCTCCTCCTCCTCCCCCTCGCCCCTTCCCCCTCCTACCCTCCCCCCGTGTATCCGCACACGTCATCACTGCAGCGAGCACATGTCATCACTGCAGCGCGCATCCGCACACGTCATCACTGCAGCGCGCATCCGCACACGTCATCACTGTAGCGCGCATCCGCACACGTCATCACTGCAGCGCGCATCCGCACACGTCATCACTGCAGCGCGCATCCGCACACGTCATCACTGCAGCGCGCATCCGCACACGTCATCACTGCAGCGCGCATCCGCACACGTCATCCTCGTCGGACGCGTCGTATCTGCGTCGCCTGGGCGGCAGGCGAATATCCTCCCACTCCACGTCGCTGCGCGCAGTGCAGGGGCGGAGCGGAGTTGAGGCCATGGGGATAAGGGAGGGGAAGAGAGGGGGGGGAGGGGGGGGAGAGAGAGAAGGGGCAGAGGTTGGTGGAGGGAAGGGCGGAAGAGAATGGGGGCATACTGACCTCCCGCCTCACGTCGCTGCGCAATGCAGGGTGGGCCGTTGAAATGGGAGGAGCGAGATGGGGGGGCGGGGTGGGGAAGGGTGACAGGTTGTAAAAGGAGGGCGAAGAAGCTTGGCTTCTTGTTATTTTCTCAGGAGTAAGGGGAGGCGAGGGAATAGTGGGACCAGTGGGGGAGCCAGGGGGATGGAGAGTGGGGGGATGTGAATGAGCGGGAAAGGGCTCAGTGTCGCACATGGTCGCACATTGTCGCACGTGGTCGCAGAGCACGTGGATTGTTACAGCATTGGGCGACGCACCTTCGCTCAAATTCACGAACATCGACGAGCGACCCGCCGTCCTCTTCGTCGCACCACCGAACCCGCTGCCCTTTGCTGTTGGGCGACTTGCTGTGCGACTCTCTCGCACGCGCGGGCGACACCGGCGGGAATCTGTACGGCCCGAAAGGCCACGTGGCGCTGAAGGGTCGGTCGTCGTCGAGAGTCAACGCAGGTTTGAACGAGTCAACGTCCCTTTGTTGAGCCAGCGCGCCACTCGTCGATGATTGACCAATCAGCGGCTCGACATGCCTTGCACTGCCGGCGGTGGAAGAATCGGAAGTTTCGAACGAATCTTCGCTCCCGAACGACGAAAATCCACTGCATGACTCGTCACTGCTTGACGATTCGTCGTCGCTTGACAAGTCTTCGCTGTCGCACGATAGCTCGCTGTCGCACGAGCTTTTGCTGTCGCTTGAAGAACGCACCGCCCCACACTCCGTGTCCTGTCCCTCCCTTACATCCCCCTCAGCCGTTGACTCGATAGGATCGCGTCGCGTCTGTTTACACATAACGATATCATCACCTGCCGCAAGATGTTCGTTAGTCGTTTCTCGATACGACTCACTGACAAAAGGAAGGTAATTTCCTTGTCGGGACTCATCGAATAGCTGCGTCTCGGGGGGTACCAGAGCTTCACACTCGCCATACTCGGCCCCGCAGCCTCCTTGCCGAATCGACGACCGCGAAACCTCGGTGATCTCTTGCAAGAAATCCCGCAGCTGAAGGGAAGGCTTGGCACGAGGCTGAGTGGATAACCAGAGGCTGTAGCTCAGGATAGGAACGGCGAGAGGCACAGGGAGAGATAGAGGGGACGTGCAGTGCAAGTCGACTTCGGAGGACTGGAATTCAACAAGGGTCATGGCTGCGGTCTGCTGATTGGCCGTTGTACGAGGCGCAATGTAAAGGGTTGCTGCCAGATTTGGCGTTCTATGGCTTATCACATGTCGCGTTCACTAGTGTTCCCGGTCGTTTTAGTAGAAAGAGCAGCGCATAGAGTTCGAGCGGGAGATTGGCGTGACAAAGGAGTTGAGTTGATTTGAGAGAAGCAGAGCAGGCGCCAACTGCGGCGCTCTTCCCTTTTCTACCAACAATGGTGGCGACTTTTCTCGACCAGCTCCCTATCGACCCCAAATAATGCCCAACCATAGAAGCTCACACAGCACTGGTTGCAACTATCCCCGCACCAGCGCGCTCAAAGGGGCAAGCTAGAAAGGAAAAACATGAAATTTTGTGTGCTGTATGTGGCGAGGCGATAATCGTCCAGCCGAACCGACCAGTAGAGGAAACGCTGGGCACCGGATAGGCTCGGCAAGGGCAATTGACGGTGCGCGATCTGAACCGTCCCTCAACGCCATCCCATACCACACCTCGAGGTAGGGACAGTTTGCCCTGCTTGTTGGGAATTTGGAACGCGTTACACGTACAGACAAAAGTCAGACTTCGCGGTGGTGCAACCCAATTGGCCCAAAAACGTTTTGCTAGTCGCGAAATCGTAGTGTTTTACCGCGATATCATTTCGAAGATGGTTTGGTGTAGAATTGCAGGTTTGGTGCAGCTGGAGGGAGGGAACGGGAGGCGCACGACATGGTGGAGACTACAGGCTGCAATTATTCATACATCAGACTTCGGGCATCATAAAGTTTGAGGAGCGTAGAATTTGCGGGTCTACTCCAAGGCATCCAACATTGGTCAAGGAGCTGAGCGCGTGGCAAACGCGATACGCTTGGAAGTCACCGCATCGCCCTTGTAAAATGACTGTCTGTACGCGCTAGCGCTAACATAGACACCAGCCCCGTTAAATAGTCTTTTGCGACGGACAGTGGTCGTATAGTCAATATGATTGGCAACATTGTGACTCAAATGACATCCATAATCTGCCAACAACACTCCTGCGCAATTAAATAAAGCTGCGGAGACGCTCACTAAATAGAGGCCCTTCGGGCACCATGAGATGGAATTATCGATTATAAAGATGCAAAGACCGGCCAATGGGGTCATGCGGGTAGACGTCCTTCAAGCTCTCCTCTGCATCCAGCCAAACCCATTGATCCTCAGGCACCCCACTTACACAAAAATCACTACACCTATCCAAGTTATCATCTCCCATCTCCTCCATACTACTCCCATCAATACCCAAAACCTCCAACAACGCACTAGCCCCTCTCTCCCCAGCAGCCTTCGCCAACTCACTCCACGACGCCCCCACTTCATCTACACTCCGCTCCACTTTACAAGCCCCAGAAACAGTCGAATTCGCCCACTGGGAACTAACCCTGGCGCGGCCGCCGCGGCACGGCGTGGGGGCGACCACAGCGGCGGGGTTCTCAAGGGCGCGGGAGGAGTACTTGGCGAGGAGGACGGCCCAGAAGTGCACGCGCGAGTGCCATGTGCAGACGAGCGCTGCGAGCTCGTTGGCGTTGCGCACCATGGTGCGGACGGCAGCGTCGTTGCGCTGCATCCACTCTATCACTCCGAACAGGTCCCGGAAACTGCGGAGGGCGGGATGGGGCGAGGGGTGGTCAGGGGCGTGGAGGGGTTGAGAGAAGAGGGGAAGGGTTAGGGCGGTACTCCACGTGGTGCGAGCTCGTTGGCGTTGCACACCATGGTGTGCGCACGGTGGGGTCGTTGCGCTGCATCCACTCTATCACTCTAAACACGTCCCGGAAACTGCCATGTGTGGCAGGGCAAATGTGGGTGGGGGGGAAGATGGGAAGTTGGGCTGGTTCGTGGAAGGAGGCGAAAGGCGGGAACACGGGATGGTTGCCATGCAAGGCTGAGGGATAAAGAGTGTTTGCTGCTAGCAGCAGCACTCCCGTCTCAGCACCAGCAGGCCCATCTCAACCACACATGCCACTGCACATGGGAGCATGCACCCCACTCACCTGTGCCCCACCGGTGCAGAGTGCACACCAGGCAGCAGCAGCGGGTCAAAAGCTCCATGCAGCATGAGAGCATGGAAATCCATACACACACCATGTGCACCGCACAGCACTGCATCCCACTGACCTGTGCCCCACAGGAGCATAGTGCACGCCTGGCAGCAGCAGCGGGTCGAAGAACTCCGTGTAGCCTGACGCGTGGCGGATGACGGCCTGCGGGCCACTGAGAGCGCGACACATGTCACGCGTGCCGATCTGCTCGTCCACCACCAGCACGTACTTGTACCCCCTCCTCCCCTCTGCCGCGTCATCCACCTCCTCCGCCAGAACAACACCGTGCCTGGAAGGGGGGGGGTGGGCAGCTTTTGAGTCATGTGAAAGAAGTGATGTTTTGAGCGGCCTTAGAAAATCCACTTGTTTCACGTGGTTTTTGAGTCGACTAAAAAGTGCTCGTCCACCACCAGCACGTACTTGTACCCCCTCCTCCTCTCTGCCACGTCATCCACCTCCTCTGCCAGCACAACACCGTGCCTGGCAGCAAGGGGAAGGAGCGGGACATGGTGCAAATGATTGGAAAAGGGAGCATGAATTCAGAGCTCAATACTCAAAGCTCTCCACCCATGTGCCAAGAATCATCATTCATCTCACACAAGTAATTCTAGGTCCAGGCTCTTTCTCCCTCCACCACCCCCCCCACCTGAGCAGCAGCTTCTTGGCGTCAACGCCGTCCTTCTCGCCCCACATGGTCAGCCGCCCATCCAGCAGGTCGGGACGGGCATCGGACATGCGGTGCAGGCGTACTCTCAGGCTGCTGGCCCAGTTGGCCTCCTTCAACACCAGCTCCAGCGCCCTGCCCCTCCACTCCGCCTTGCTCTGCCGCTGCTTAGAGGGGATAAGAAGAGAGAGAGGCAGGGAGGAAAGACAGGGGGGTTACGCAGGAAGGAACGGCAGGGGATGAGGAGAAGATGCAGTGTGGGACATGCGGTGGAGGCGCACTCGCAGGCTCGTGGCCCAGTTGGCCTCTTTCAACACCAGCTCCAGCGCCCTGCCGCGCCATAAAGCCTTGCTCTGCCTCTGCTTGTTGGGGAAGGAGGGGATACGCAGGGGGGAATAGGCAAGTGGGAAATGCAGGGGTTGAGGTGGGCGTGGGACATGCGGTGCAGGCGCACTCTCAGGCTGCTGGCCCAGTTGGCCTCCTTTAGCACCAGCTCCAGCGCCCTGCCCCTCCACACTGCCTTGCTCTGCCTCGGGTGTGTGAGGGAAGGAGTGGGTGGATAGGCAGCGGGGACATACAGGGGCTGAGGAGAACAAGGCACGTCTGACAAGCGGTGCAGGCGCACTCGCAGGCTGCTCGCCCAGTTTGCCTCTTTTCGTACCAGCTCCAACGCCCTGCCCCGCCATACCGCCTTGCTCTGCCGCTGGTCATGCAGGGGGGGGGACAACGGGGGAAAGGATCAGAGGAGAACATGTGCTAAAACATGTGGGTGGAAAATCAAGCCACAACACGTTCCTGTTCGACGTGCAGGTTTGACGTGCAGGTTTGAGGTGCAGGTTTGAGGTGCAGGTTTGACGTCAGGTTTGAGGTGCAGGTTTGAGGTGCAGGTTTGAGGTGCAGGTTTGAGGTGCAGGTTTGAGGTGCAGGTTTGAGGTGCAGGTTTGAGGTCAGGTTTGAGGTGCAGGTTTGAGGTGCAGGTTTGAGGTGCAGGTTTGAGGTGCAGGTTTGACGTGCAGGTTTGAGGTGCAGGTTTGAGGTGCAGGTTTGACGTGCAGGTTTGAGGTGCAGGTTTGAGGTGCAGGTTTGAGGTGCAGGTTTGACGTGCAGGTTTGAGGTGCAGGTTTGACGTGC